ATTCCCTTTTCCGGGTTCATCAATAAAATAAATAAAATTTTGTGTTGCAGCATATAAATTTCAACCACGTTTCGCTTTCATTTACTTGTTAGGAAGATTTTATTGTGGCCGAAATGGAGTTTGGTCATCAATGGCCAAAATAAGTAATCAGCACTAGAAATACATCATATAAAGGAGTTTTATTGGATTTTGTGTGGTTGAGCTTATTTAAGTAAAGTTTGACATACACTCTCAAAATAATATTAGTAATAAACTGAAAACAGGAAAACAATGATTTTAGTTGGATGAAAAGAGTTGTAAGTTTATATAAAAATTTGAAGATTAATCTTCGATATATTTCTCCAATTTCTAAGAATGAGAATCTCGTAAATATCAATAAGTGTACATTATGTATTAATAAATTTAACATTCATTTAAAAACTTTTGTTAACATTAAACCTCTTATTGATATTCCATATTAGATATTATTAACGAAAATAATTTTTTTCAAAACTTTGACAGTTCCTTCACAATGCCAACCCTATATTAGTAGTAACACTATACTACACTATGCTAGGTATATATATAAATGCTTATGATATAAAATGTAACTGTTTACTGGTATATACATTTTTTTGTTTGGTGTATAAATAAAGCTTTATATAAACTCAATAAATAAAATCGATATAACATATTGTATTTCATTATTTCATTTATTGACGTAAGCCTTTTGGCTTAAATCTAATAGTAAAATCAGTATTAAGCCAGTATTATTATCCCAATTCATAATCATAAGGGTAGATTATTCATATTATTAATACATATAATTATGCAGTTATGAAAAATATAATCTGTGAAAGAATAGAATAAAATTGGAATAAAAAAATGACAATATGAAATCCGTAAATTATTTGAAGAAGATAAGATTAAAAAGTTATAAAACATACACTCAGTTTGACTAAACTTCATTCTTTCATAAATAGAAGAATCATGTATTAGTGTTAAAAATAAGATATTAAAAAAATGAAAAATTCCTGAAAAAGATATACACTAAAGTGGGAAGGATTTTTCACAGAAACATTAGAAGATACTACGTGATTTTTTATTTATTTAGCATCACAGTAGGATGGATCAGTGCTTTGTTTTAAGCTCATTCATTCATCGAAAGGTATGGTGGATATGTAAGGTATGGAAAGACGTGTACTCACTTTATATAAGAAGTACTAGCTGTCAAGTTTTTACCCTGATATAAGACATATTACTAGTTTATTCATTAAGCAAGCTAGTTGCAGTATGACAAACCCACACTCCATTCTGCACCAATATATATTTCTCAGTTAGTAGTAAACTTCGTCAGCATAACTGTCTTATGGAAAATATTTCATTACTACTCTTCTAAAAACTTTTGAAAATTATTTTGATATGTCCAATCAATAAATGAGTTCTATGGAAAGAAAAGGCTGAACTGAGGAATTCTTTACTTCTGTTCATATTTTTTTTTAAATTATATATTATTTTTTATATATTATTTTTGTTTAAAAGTTGTATATCCTACAATAAAATTTGTGCTCATATTTTTCCCTTTTATATCGATTTTACGATATTACTTATCGATGCGATATTTCTATTCATTTACTGTGAGTAGATGTATATATAAAATAGATGTGTGATATAGACGTGGCAAGATAGAGAAGTTTGTTACTATTCAGTTTTAGAAAACCATTAATATATTGGAACATCTCAACATCTACATAACAGAAGTAGCAAAACCTGGTTACTGATTAGTACATACTTTTAGATGGTCCTTTAGTTTACAGTACCCTATTAGAAACCTGGTTAACAAGTTACTATTCTTTTGCTGAGTGCAAACGGTATGCTATAAAAGTCTTTTATACTTTATTAAATAGCTATTGAATTCGAACAACTTTAATGTTTCCATAATATGCGTCACATAACTCAGTTACTATCAATTGACGCGGTTGTTTTATCCTAGTACTTTAAGGAATGATCGACAGACCCGAATGAAATCTTGGAGAGATTGCGGCTCTTACTGGACTAAATATTAAGCCTTTTTTTAATTTTTATATATTTATATTTTTATTTACATTTATATTTATTTATATTATGAATAGTTATGTTTTTTATGGAGACTAGAAGGTTGTGTATCAACAAATATAAGGAACAATTTCAAGTCAGGACTTATTCTAGCTTTCGATATATATTATTATATCAATGCAACCTGAAACCTTAATATATTTCTTTAATAACAATGTTTTCGTTTCGGTGTTTTAATAAGTCATTAAAAAATTGAACTTAATTGTGTTCTTTTGAATTTTTGCTTACATTTAAAAACATCAAAACATTAAATTTTTAATCATTGAAATGATGGTTTTTATAATATTTATAAAATAGTGTAAATAAATACATATTAATTTATTAAATTTTTTTTTTGAATTTTGGTGTTTACCATAATAATTCATCAAAACATTTTTAGTAATTATTAAATACTGAAACAAATTTTTTAAACAATTCATGATAAACACTTTTTCTTTCTATGTCTTTAATAAAGGCTATTCTCCACAAGTGTAGAAAAATGTTTAATCTCAGTTTTACGATAACGATAGTAAATATAAATCACAATAAAGTGTTAAATGCATAATCGAAATATCAATGGAGGTCATTAAGGCTATATATCAAAATCTATCTATTGAAGGGTTCCTTAATAGTGTTTTTCGCAGATGTTACACATTGCAAAGGATTTCAATAAACACTTCGTTTCAAAATATTTTATTAAAAAATATTAGTGCTGTGATTTATAAACTATAATAAAATTTTATTATATTAAATTATGTTTTATTACATTTTTAAAATTACAAACCTATATGGTTGAATATACTCGTACTATGAAGCATACATAGGAATTGTCCTTTAATAAGGCAACAACCTAAATCTGACCTAATTTTCAAATAATGCACAAATTGTTGCAATTAAATTTATCCTTACAACTCGAATGTTATTGTTTTATTATAAATTTATTGCCAAAGGACATTGGCAATGTTTTTCACACATAAAACTCTAAAAGCACACAAACAAATTTTTATACTAAAAGAGACAATAATAAAAATAAAACAAAAAGTGAAAGCAAAAGTAAAAGTAAAACAACATAAAACAGACACAAAGAGACAAAAAGTATAAAAGGTCCTAAAGACAGACAGTAAATAACGTTTGACATACACAATAACTTTTGTCTGCCAAATGGGCTAATGGCCAAAAGCGTTGAAAACTCATAAAAAGAAATAATAATAATAAAAATAAAAATGAAAATAAAAATATAAAGAAAAATATTTATATGTTAAGGAAAAAGGATAAAAAAAAATTTATATGAATTTTATACGAACGCAGCAGTCGAAGCAACAAAGTAAAATGGCCATAAAATGCAGATAATAAAAATTATTGTTTCTGGCTTTGGTTTTTGGTACCAGCTTAGATTTTTACTCCATTTTAAGGATTTCACATTTTGGTTGTCCAGATTTAAATTCAGAAATTACTTGAATTAAGATAGAATTTATATATTTATTAATTTTCGGAAATATATTTTTATGTAGAATTATTTAAGTAATTTTTTTCAAGCAAAAGAACTCAGTCGAACAGATGAAGGTAGTAAGCAAGATAGCGAGGGTAAGCTCTGAAATATATAAGTTAAATCCCGCAGCTTTTTAAATCCAATCCCTGCGCTCAGTTTCATTAACGCACAATCATGCAATATTATTATATGGCTTGATTGCTACCAAATGGGACATTAACTTGTTAGTCTATAGAAGTTCCGTTTGGTTTCCGTAGCTCTCAACTTTTAAATTGAGACATCGCAGTTTTACTTAGTCTTTTGATTAGTAAAATAAAGAAGAACGTTAAACATTAAACAGAATGTTTTAATTTTAATTAAATATTACTAAATAATAATATTAATAATATTTAAAATTGAACAATGTTTTAATTTTAACTTATATAAGTGACGACACCTCGTTACAAATCCCGATGTGTGAATCGATTTAGAGCATAAAATAATTCACAATCACGATGACAAATGACTTGTGGATTGGTTGCAAAGAGTTTGAGTTTCCTTGGACTTTATGACCTAAATTAGACAGAAATAAAACGAAAAGCCGGGCTTCAACAAACTCGCAGTTCATTCCGATCAGTGAATCAGTGAAGAAAAATGCCATTAATTATATTCTATATCTGTGTTAAATCACATTTCTTGGAATGAAGAGGCGATTAAATCGCTCAATTACTTATTATGTCTATGTGAAATTACAGGGGACGGACTTCCATGGGTAGAATGTACAAAATAATTCTCAAAATGGAAGTGTTTAGGGTGGCATTGGTTCTCTTAACCTAACCTAACGTAGTTTTTTTTATTCTATATTATTATTATTACTTTATATCTATGTTCAATATTTATATATAGAAGATAAAAAGATATTTATTATTTAAAGAAATTTTTTCAAAAAATTATACAACAAAAATTCTATTTATATTATTTCAATTATTTAATTTTTGCGTGACTATACACCTATTTCGAATATTGCCAAATACCTATTATTGCCAAATAATGTTTGAAATAGTTCTTGTATTTACTTATTCGTAAATAATTTTTTTGAGGCAGCAAGTACCAGGAATCAAAATCGTGCCCTGCCAAATTTGAAGCTCATAGTCAGTTCCCTTTAAGATTCTTTCAATTAAAAAACGAAACTATTTAATTATGGTTTAAAATTTTTTAAAGACTCTTAATTAACCATATGTGTTAAAAATGAAACAGTTCCTAATTTTATTACATTTAAAAATATTTCCGTTAAAAACGAGATGGAAAGAATCGGACTTCTGTATGCAAGCTGATATCACTTCAATAAAAAAAATTAGTTTTATTGCAGTATGAATACTACGATAATATTGCGGAAAAGTTATCTATTCATTTAAAAGCCACTCAAAAACTTTTGATATTCCGTTTTATAATAAAGTCTTGTTTAATTTCGTCAATAAACTTTATTTACTAAAAATTTATACGAAAAAGGTGGCAATTTGATGTTGTCATAATCGTGTGGAAAAATAGAACAATTAATCAATAAAATAATGTTCTCATCTCACTGGAGTATTAAATGACGTAGACCTACCCCAGCTAATAGATAGTTGTCTACCACAAATACGTTAAAGATGAATAAGAGTTTGAGTCTCCAGTGAATTTCCAGCCAATGACATCTCAAACTGGTTGTTAGACACATTCGAGTTGGGTTCAATTCCGGGGTGTTGCCATCGAACTTTAAAATTTTCTACAAATAGTTTAAATAATGTATAAATATTTTAAATAAAATTTAAAAAGACCTGCAGTTCGTTTCGCTTCTGGAAATTAAACATTGACTTCCGATGGGCAAATTACAAAAATTGAGTAATTGAGTAATTGAGTACATTGTCTATGTGGATATAGGTTTTACTTTCGAATAAATAGATAAATATAGAAATATAGAGTTACTTACTCAATTGAATAAAAAATTAAATAAATAAGAAATGAAGATTATTGGTTGTGAATGATGATCACTAGCATTCATATTCATCATTCTCATCATCCAAATTGTTGAAGGAATGGGTTAAGTATTTATATTGCACTCTTTTTTTATATTTATATTTACTGTCTGCAATTTTAAAGATATAAAGCATATAGTACTTTTTAAGTTAGATATATTTGCAATACCTTAAATGATTTCATGCAAGTAATTGAGTTACTTGTAAACTTTGTTTTATAGTTCATTGCGGAAAATTTTGAATCAAAAGCCGAAAGTGTTGTAATTTTGATTTTTGTGGAGCAAAAACTGTAACTGATATAAAAAAATATGTGATCTATTCGGAATGGTAAACATTTTTATGAAAGTCACAGCCTACGTTTTTAAACTAAATTTCACAATAAAATATTTTAAAATTTTATTAAAATTTTTGGTTCTGTTGTGAATCAAGAGATGCTGAGTATGCTATGAAAAAACGTAGCAATTGACTGCAGATTCATAGAGTGGCACCCTCAAATCCTAAAATTATTTTCAACTCAGTAACGTAAATCGAATATACCTATTTTATCTATATTAAAAAAATCAATAAGCTGACCATACGTCCTGAATAAATCTTCAATGGGGAGATTTATATAAAAAGTAACTATATAAGAACTGCATATAACATACATAGTTTTATAATTGAATATAAAAAAGTAGTAACTAAGGTTCATAAAAGAGCTTTAACTCTCAGATAGATAATGACTTGTAAGATGGTAAACGAACTGTGTAGGTTTAATAAAACAGCAGTTAACTACATGACTTAAGAGGTATTAATATTAACAGATAATAACCAAAACAGGAACTATATTTTAAGTGGACTGTCTGTAGTCACCAAATGATACACATATTTCTAAATAAGAAAACTGTTTCTTTAATGGAGCTGATTGTACAATATATGTGATGCACTTTCTCTTTAGAACTGCAAACTTGTTGTGAATAATTAATTTGGTTGATTATAATTTAATTAATAGTTCCAAACTTATTTCTACTTGACATTTTAATTTAAAAAAGTTACCTTTGACTTTTATTAAATAATACATAAGTATAATTAAAATAAGTTTTTATTCATATTATTTAACATTTTCGTGCACTTCACATATTTTGGCATTTTCATCAAAATTTCCGTAATTAAATTAGTACCTTACAAAATTTAAATATAAAACAAGAACCAGAAGGATATAGGTTAAGGTCCTTCTATAATACATTTACAATATAACAAAATATACTGAACTTAATTTATACTAAATTACAGATAGCAAATATGAATACAAAATAGCACTCACAAAATACGTATATTTCTTAATGGATTTAAGAGATTTTTGAATGATCAGGATGAGTTTTGGTGAGTTTTTCTGAAATTTTAAATTTTATGAAAAATAATGTCATCTATATATATTAGGCGATCTTTGCGAAAACTCTAACGATCACGTGTAATGCATAATTACTTCGACTCTAATGAAATTAAACAAGTTATGGACTTCATGTATTCTTGAATGAAATGAAAAAATCAATTAAAAAAATTAGATAAAATAGACCTTAGATCAAAAGTAAATTATAAAATATCTCTATTAATATATCTTATTAATCGTTTAAATTTTAGCATGAAGAAGACAATAACTTGCGTTATAAAC